ACACAGACTTAGGTGATGGTGGTTCTATTCTCTCTACCACACAGACTTATATGATGATGGTTCTATTCTCTCTACCACACAGACCTAGATGATGGTGGTTCTATTTTCTCTACCAACACAGACTTAGATGATGATGGTTCTATTCTCTCTACCAACACAGACTTAGATTATGATTGTTCTATTCTCTCTACCACACAGACTTAGATGATGATGGTTCTGTTCTCTCTCCAACACAGACTTAGGTGATGGTGGTTCTATTCTCTCTACCACACAGACTAAGATGATGATGGTTCTGTTCTCTCTACCACACAGACTTAGATTATGATGGTTCTGTTCTCTCTCCCACACAGACTTAGATGATGATGTTTCTATTCTCTCTACCACACAGAATTAGATGATGGTGGGTCTATTCTCTCTACCACACAGACTTAGGTGATGGTGGTTCTACTCTCTCTCCCACACAAACTTAGATGATGGTGGTTCTATTATCTCTACCACACAGACTTAGTGATGGTGGTTCTATTCTCTCTACCACACAGACCTAGATGATGGTGGTTTTGTTCTCTCTACCACTCAGACTTATATGATGATGGTTCTATTCTCTCTACCACACAGAATTAGATGATGGTGGTTCTATTCTCTCTACCACACAGACTTAGGTGATGGTGGTTCTATTCTCTCTCCCACACAAACTTAGATGATGGTGGTTCTATTATCTCTACCACACAGACTTAGGTGATGGTGGTTCTATTCTCTCTACCACACAGACTTATATGATGATGGTTCTATTCTCTCTACCACACAGACTTAGATGATGGTGGTTCTATTCTCTCTACCACACAGACTTTGATGATCGTGGTTCTATTCTCTCTACCACACAGACTTAGATGATGGTGGTTCTGTTGTCTTTACCACACAGACTTAGATGATGGTGGTTCTGTTCTCTCTACCACACAGACTAAGATGATGGTGGTTCTGTTCTATCTCCCACACAGACTTAGATGATGGTGGTTCTATTCTCTCTACCACACAGGCTTAGATGATGGTGGTTCTGTTCTCTCTACCACACAGGCTTATATGATGATGGTTCTGTTCTCTCTACCACAGACCTACCATAATAATAACTCGGTTCCTTTTGTCCTGATTGTTCAGCATATAGGTTACAAATCTGACCATACAGGCATAGAAACCCAGGGTAGCAGCATTCCTCACATCCAGCAGAGATTTAACCAGAGGGATGGTACCCATGGTCCAATCACAGCACAGTCCGGAGGGACAAAGGAGGAGCCAAACATTGACTGGCAGCAGGTAGTTCAATGTCAGATGTCGGGCTGGGAAGGCAGCTTGGGAAGCAGGGTTATCAAAACTGCCAAAAAACAAGGTCGTCATGTTACAATTTTTTTTTTTATTGAGATTGACATATCACCAATGGTACTGACAGTGTATCAATTAAGCTGGTTAACTTGAATTATTATTGACCATGCACCAACACAAAATCGTCACATTAAGGCAAATGGTCAAACACAAAACTCTACTTGATGTGATATAGAAATAGTCTGACAAAACAACTTTACCTGTATATGATATAGAAGCAGTCTGACAAAACAACTTTACCTGTATATGATATAGAAACAGTGTGAGAAAACAACTTTACCTGTATATGATATAGAAACAGTCTGACAAAACAACTTTACCTGTATGTGATATAGAAACAGTCTGACAAAACAACTTTACCTGTATGGGATATAGAAACAGTCTGACAAAACAACTTTACCTGTATATGATATAGAAACAGTCTGACAAAACAACTTTACCTGTATATGATATAGAAACAGTCTGACAAAACAACTTTACCTGTATATGATATAGAAACAGTCTGACAAAACAACTTTACCTGTATATGATATAGAAACAGTCTGACAAAACAACTTTACCTGTATATGATATAGAAACAGTCTGACAAAACAACTTTACCTGTATATGATATAGAAACAGTCTGACAAAACAACTTTACCTGTATATGATATAGAAACAGTCTGACAAAACAACTTTACCTGTATATGATATAGAAACAGTCTGACAAAACAACTTTACCTGTATATGATATAGAAACAGTCTGACAAAACAACTTTACTTCTATGTGATATAAAAACAGTGTGACAAAACAACTTTACCTGTATATGATATAGAAACAGTCTGACAAAACAAATTTACCTGTATATGATATAGAAACAGTCTGACAAAACAACTTTACCTGTATGTGATATAGAAACAGTCTGACAAAGCAACTTTACTTCTATGTGATATAGAAACAGTGTGACAAAACAACTTTACCTTGTATGATATAGAAACAGTCTGACAAAACAACTTTACCTGTATATGATATAGAAACAGTCTGACAAAACAACTTTACCTGTATGGGATATAGAAACAGTCTGACAAAGCGACTTTACCTGTATGGGATATAGAAACAGTCTGACAAAACAACTTTACCTGTATATGATATAGAAACAGTCTGACAAAGCAACTTTACCTGTATGTGATATAGAAACAGTCAGACAAAACAACTTTATCTGTATATGATATAGAAACAGTCTGACAAAGCAACTTTACCTGTTTGTGATATAGAAACAGTGTGACAAAACAACTTTATCTGTATATGATATAGAAACAGTCTGACAAAGCAACTTTACCTGTATGTGATATAGAAACAGTCTGACAAAGCAACTTTACCTGTATATGATATAGAAACAGTCTGACAGAGCAACTTTACTTCAATGTGATATAGAAACAGTGTGACAAAACAACTTTACCTGTATGTGATATAGAAACAGTCTGACAAAGCGACTTTACCTATATGTGATATAGAAACAGTCTGACAAAAAATCATTACTTCTATGTGATATAGAAACAGTGTGACAAAACAACTTTACCTGTATGCGATATAGAAACAGTCCGACAAAACAACTTTACCTGTATATGATATAGAAACAGTGTGACAAAACAACTTTACCTGTATGCGATATAGAAACAGTCTGACAAAACAACTTTACCTATATGTGATATAGAAACAGTCTGACAAAGCGACTTTACCTGTATGTGATATAGAAACAGTCTGACAAAGCAACTTTACCTGCATGTGATATAGAAACAGTCTGACAAAGCAACTTTACCTGTATGTGATATAGAAACAGTGTGACAAAACAACTTTACCTGTATGTGACATAAAAACAGTGTGATATAACAACTTTACCTGTATTTGATATAGAAACAGTGTGACAAAACAACTTTACCTGTATGTGATATAGAAACAGTGTGACAAAACTTTACCTATATGTGATATAGAAACAGTTTGACAAAACTTTACCTATATGTGATATAGAAACAGTGTGACATAACAACTTTACCTGAATGTGATATAGAAACATTCTTGCAAAGCAACTTTACCTGTATGTGATATAGAAACAGTGTGAGAAAACAACTTTACCTGTATGTGATATAGAAACAGTCTGACAAAGCAACTGTACCTGTATGTGATATAAAAACAGTGTGAGAAAACAACTTTACCTGTATGTGATATAGAAACAGTCTGACAAAGCAACTTAACCTGTATGTGATATAAAAACAGTCTGACAAAGCAACTTTATTTCTATGTGATATAGAAACAGTGTGAGAAAACAACTTTACCTGTATGTGATATAGAAACAGTCTGACAAAGCGACTTTACCTGTGTCTGATATAGAAACAGTCAGACAAAACAACTTTACCTGTATGTGATATAGAAACAGTCTGACAAAGCGACTTTACCTGTATCTGATATAGAAACAGTCTGACAAAACAACTTAACCTGTATGTGATATACATAAGTCTGATAAACAACTTTACCTGTATGTGATATAGAAAAAATCTGACTAAACAACTCTACCTGTATATGATATAGAAACAGTGTGACATAAAAACTTTACCTGTATATGATATAGAAACAGTGTGACATAACAACTTTACCTGTATGTGATATAGAAACAGTCTGACAAAACAACTTTACCTGTATGTGATATAGAAACAGTGTGACATAAAAACTTTACCGGTATATGATATAGAAACAGTGTGACATAACAACTTTACCTGTATGTGATATAAAAACATTCTTACAAAACAACGTTACCTGTATGTGATATAGATAAGTCTGACAAAACAACTTTACCTATATGTGATATAGAAACAGTTTGACAAAACAACTTTACCTGTATGTGATATAGAAACAGTCTGACAAAACAACTCTACCTGTATATGATATAGAAACAGTGTGACCTAACAATTTTACCTGTATGTGATATAGAAACAGTCTGACAAAGCAACTTTACTTGTACGTGATATAGAAACAGTCTGACAAAACAACTTTACCTGTATGTGATATAGAAACAGTTTGACAAAACAACTTTACCTATATGTGATATAGAAACAGTCTGACAAAACAACTCTACCTGTATATGATATAGAAACAGTCTGACAAAGCATCTTTACCTGTATGTGATATAGAAACAGTCTGACAAAGCAACTTTACCTGTATGTGATATAGAAACAGTCAGACAAAGCGACTTTACCTGTTTGTGATATAGAAACAGTCAGACAAAGCAATTTTACTTCTATGTGATATAGAAACAGTGTGAGAAAACAACTTTACCTGTATGTGATATAGAAACAGTCTGACAAAGCATCTTTACTTCTATGTGATATAGAAACAGTGTGACAAAACAAATTTACCTATATGTGATATAGAAACAGTCTGACAAAACAACATTACCTGTATGTGATATAAAAACAGTGTGACATAACAACTTTACCTGTATGTGATATAGAAACAGTGTGACAAAACTTTACCTGTATGTGATATAGAAACAGTGTGACATAACAACTTTACCTGTATGTGATATAGAAACATTCTTACAAAACAACTTTACCTGTATGTGATATAGATAAGTCTGACAAAACAACTTTACCTGTATGTGATATAGAAACAGTCTGACAAAACAACTTTACCTGTATACATCTTTTGAAATGTAATCCAGCTGTACGTAAATGGGTAAGCATACATAAATAGATGTTTTATCTAACTTCCACTCTATAAAATCAATCAAAATTACAAGAATAAATGGAACTGTCAACAAAAACAAAGTTATCATACTTGTTTAACATACTTGTTGCAGAACTTATCAGACACTTACTTTGTGAAGACTGGGAGCTGGGCTCCCATCACTTTGTTGTAGAACCTATCAGACACTTACTTTGTGCAGACCGGGAGCTGGGCTCCCATCACTTTGTTATAGAACCTATCAGACACTTACTTTGTGGAGACCAGGAGCTGGGCTCCCATCACTTTGTTATGGAACCTATCAGACACTTACTTTGTGGAGACCAGGAGCTGGGCTCCCATCACTTTGTTATAGAACCTATCAGACACTTACTTTGTGGAGACCAGGAGCTGGGCTCCCATCACTTTGTTATAGAACCTATCAGACACTTACTTTGTGGAGACCAGGAGCTGGGCTCCCATCACTTTGTTATAGAACCTATCAGACACTTACTTTGTGGAGACCAGGAGCTGGGCTCCCATCACTTTGTTATAGAACCTATCAGACACTTACTTTGTGGAGACCAGGAGCTGGGCTCCCATCACTTTGTTATAGAACCTATCAGACACTTACTTTGTGGAGACCAGGAGCTGGGCTCCCATCACTTTGTTATAGAACCTATCAGACACTTACTTTGTGGAGACCAGGAGCTGGGCTCCCATCACTTTGTTATAGAACCTATCAGACACTTACTTTGTGGAGACCAGGAGCTGGGCTCCCATCACTTTGTTATAGAACCTATCAGACACTTACTTTGTGGAGACCAGGAGCTGGGCTCCCATCACTTTGTTATAGAACCTATCAGACACTTACTTTGTGGAGACCAGGAGCTGGGCTCCCATCACTTTGTTATAGAACCTATCAGACACTTACTTTGTGGAGACCAGGAGCTGGGCTCCCATCACTTTGTTATAGAACCTATCAGACACTTACTTTGTGGAGACCAGGAGCTGGGCTCCCATCACTTTGTTATAGAACCTATCAGACACTTACTTTGTGGAGACCAGGAGCTGGGCTCCCATCACTTTGTTATAGAACCTATCAGACACTTACTTTGTGGAGACCAGGAGCTGGGCTCCCATCACTTTGTTATAGAACCTATCAGACACTTACTTTGTGGAGACCAGGAGCTGGGCTCCCATCACTTTGTTATAGAACCTATCAGACACTTACTTTGTGGAGACCAGGAGCTGGGCTCCCATCACTTTGTTATAGAACCTATCAGACACTTACTTTGTGGAGACCAGGAGCTGGGCTCCCATCACTTTGTTATAGAACCTATCAGACACTTACTTTGTGGAGACCAGGAGCTGGGCTCCCATCACTTTGTTATAGAACCTATCAGACACTTACTTTGTGGAGACCAGGAGCTGGGCTCCCATCACTTTGTTATAGAACCTATCAGACACTTACTTTGTGGAGACCAGGAGCTGGGCTCCCATCACTTTGTTATAGAACCTATCAGACACTTACTTTGTGGAGACCAGGAGCTGGGCTCCCATCACTTTGTTATAGAACCTATCAGACACTTACTTTGTGGAGACCAGGAGCTGGGCTCCCATCACTTTGTTATAGAACCTATCAGACACTTACTTTGTGGAGACCAGGAGCTGGGCTCCCATCACTTTGTTATAGAACCTATCAGACACTTACTTTGTGGAGACCAGGAGCTGGGCTCCCATCACTTTGTTATAGAACCTATCAGACACTTACTTTGTGGAGACCAGGAGCTGGGCTCCCATCACTTTGTTATAGAACCTATCAGACACTTACTTTGTGGAGACCAGGAGCTGGGCTCCCATCACTTTGTTATAGAACCTATCAGACACTTACTTTGTGGAGACCAGGAGCTGGGCTCCCATCACTTTGTTATAGAACCTATCAGACACTTACTTTGTGGAGACCAGGAGCTGGGCTCCCATCACTTTGTTATAGAACCTATCAGACACTTACTTTGTGAAGACCAGGAGCTGGGCTCCCATCACTTTGTTATAGAACCTATCAGACACTTACTTTGTGAAGACCGGGAGCTGGGCTCCCATCACTTTGTTATAGAACCTATCAGACACTTATTTTGTTAAGACCGGGAGCTGGGCTCCCATCACTTTGTTATAGAAAATATCATACACTTACTTTCTTAAGACCGGGAGCTGGGCTCCCATCACTTTGTTATAGAACCTATCAGACATTTATTTTGTGAAGACCGGGAGCTGGGCTCCCATCAGTTTGTTATAGAAAATATCATACACTTACTTTCTTAAGACCGGGAGATGGGCTCCCATCACTTTGTTATAGAACCTATCAGACATTTATTTTGTGAAGACCGGGAGCTGGGCTCCCATCACTTTGTTATATAACTTATCAGACACGTACTTTGTGAAGACCAGGAGCTGGGCTCCCATCACTTTGTTATAGAACCTATCAGACACTTACTTTGTGAAGACCGGGAGCTGGGCTCCCATCACTTTGTTATATAACTTATCAGACACTTACTTTGTGAAGACCAGGAGCTGGGCTCCCATCACTTTGTTATATAACCTATCAGACACTTACTTTGTGAAGACCGGGAGCTGGGCTCCCATCACTTTGATCCTGGCGAAGAGTAGGAAAAGTGTGGTTCCCACAAGGAAGGCAGCTCTCACTATAGAATTCCTAAGCCAGGCAGGGATGGAAGGCTTCCCCTTCACAAAGCTTCCCACAACTACCAGCAGCTCCATAAATGTAGCCTGAAACAGATACCAGTAAAGATTATCTACAGCAATGACAGTAAGGGTTATCTCTCTTCACTGCAGCTCTGTATACACAATATACAGCAATGTCAGTAAGGGTTATCTCCCTTCACTGCAGCTCTGTATACACAATCTTCAGCAATGTCTATAAGGGTTATCTCCCTTCATTGAAGATCTTTATCCACAATCTTCAGCAATGCCAGTAAGGGTTATCTTCTTCACTGCAGATCTGTATACACAATCTACAGCAATGCCAGTAAGGATTATCTCCCTTCACTGGAGCTCTGTATACACAATCTACAGCAATGCCAGTAAGGGTTATCTCCCTTCACCGCAGCTCCGTATACACATTCTACAGCAATGCCATTAAGGGTTATCTCCCTTCACTGCAGTTCTGTATACACAATCTACAGCAATGTCAGTAAGGGTTATCTCCCTTCCAATGCCAGTTAGTGTTATCTTCCTTCACTGCAGCTCTGTATAACACAATCTACAGCAATAACAGTAAGGGTTATCTCCCTTCCAATGCCAGTAAGTGTTATCTCCCTTCACTGCAGCTTTGAATAGACAATATACAGCAATGCCAGTAAGGGTTATCTCCCTTCACTGCAGCTCTGTATACACAATCTACAGCAATGCCAGTAAGAGTTATCTCCCTTCACATCAGCTCTGTATACACAATCTACAGCAATGCCAGTAAGGATTATCTCCCTTCATTTCAGCTCTGTATACACAATCTACTGCAATGCCAGTAAGGATTATCTCCCTTCACTGCAGCTCTGTATACACAATCTACAGCAATGTCTATAAGGGTTATCTCCCTTCACTGCAGCTCTGTATAAACAATCTACAGCAATGTCAGTAAGGGTTATCTCCCTTCACTGCAGCTCTGTATACACAATCTACAGCAATGTCTATAAGGGTTATCTCCCTTCACTGCAGCTCTGTATACACAATCTACAGCAATGCAAGTAAGGGTTATCTCCCTCACCACAATTCCTTGATCAATGGGCAAGTTGTTTTATGCAGACAAACCAGTTCATCTTTTTTGAAATGAATATACAATGTTCATGCAGGCCTTGGAAAGTTTTTTCCAAGGTTTGCTAGAAAGCAACATCATATTACTAGGTTCGTCCCTATTTCATAAAAAAACAACTTGGTTTCAAACGTTTGGAATGCAAAAAATGAAAGCAACCCTTGCCTACAACAGATACCAGTACAGGTTTGTAACAGGAGAAAGAGAAAATGTAATGGCCAGACCAGGGTTCGAATCCGGGACCCTCCAAACTTTAGATGGACGCTCTACCAATTGAGCTACCAGTCCAGTTCTGCTACAGGTTAAACGATGTCTTCAAAAGATACCAGTGATGATTATCTCCCTTTCTATAAGATCTGTAAACTGACAGCAGCCTAGGAATGATTGAACACAGCATTACCAAACCAACACTGTAAACTACTAATGATACAGGACCCTAGACTACAGTACTTACCTCTGTGATACAAACACCTTATACACACAGAACACATATATGTGCTACCCTGCTGACAGTACTCACCCGCTGAGCTACAAACACCTCGAACACACATCACACCCCTATGACTGTGCTACCCTGCTGACAGTACTCAACCGCTGAGCTAAGAACACCTCATACACACAACACACCCCTATGACTGTGCTACCCTGCTGACAGTACTCACCCGCTGAGCTAAGAACACCTCATACACACAGCACACCCCTATGACTGTGCTACCCTGCTGACAGTACTCACCCGCTGAGCTAAGAACACCTCATACACACAGCACACCCCTATGACTGTGCTACCCTGCTCCTAGATAACAGTACTAACCGGCTGAGCTACGAACACCTCATACACACAGCACACCCCTATGACTGTGGTGCCCTGCTCCTAGATGAAAGTACTCACCGGTTGAGCTACGAACACCTCGTACACACAACACACCCCTATGACTGTGCTACCCTGTTTCTAGATGACAGTACTCACAGGTTGAGCTACGAACACCTCGTACACACAACACACCCCTATGACTTTGCTACCCTGTTCCTAGATGGCAGTACTAACAGGCTGAGCTACGAACACCTCATATACACAGCACACCCCTATGACTGTGCTACCCTGCTCCTAAATGACAGTACTCACCGGTTGAGCTACGAACACCTCGTACACACAGCACACCCCTATGACTTTGCTACCCTGTTCCTAGATGGCAGTACTAACAGGCTGAGCTACGAACACCTCGTACACACAGCACACCCCTATGACTGTGGTGCCCTGCTCCTAGATGACAGTACTCACCTGCTGAGCTACGAACACCTCGTACACACAGCACACCCCTATGACTGTGCTCCCCTGCTCCTAGATGACAGTACTCACCCGCTGAGCTACGAACACCTCGTACACACAGCACACCCCTATGACTGTGCTACCCTGTTCCAAGATGACAGTACTCACCCGCTGAGCTACGAACACCTCGTACACACAGCACACTCCTATGACTGTGATGCCCTGCTCTTTACACAACATGGCTACTGTGACAAGAACCACAGTCAAGATCAGGGGTCTCCAAACTGTATAAAGAAAAAAACTAAAATGTAGGAGTCACAATTCTATTGCAGTTCTGAAAGTAGAGCAGATGATGAAAAAATAAAAGGCATGTTTGTGTTGTTTGAGACCTGTATCCAGTGGACTTGGAGACAGACATTTGGATATGTTTGTGTTACCTATTTGAGACCTGTATCCAGTGGACTTGGAGACAGACATTTGGATATGTTTGTGTTACCTATTTGAGACCTGTATCCAGTGGACATGGAGACAGACATTTGGATATGTTTGTGTTACCTATTTGAGACCTGTATCCAGTGGACATGGAGACAGACATTTGGATATGTTTGTGTTACCTATTTGAGACCTGTATCCAGTGGACATGGAGACAGACATTTGGATATGTTTGTGTTACCTATTTGAGACCTGTATCCAGTGGACATGGAGACAGACATTTGGATATGTTTGTGTTACCTATTTGAGACCTGTATCCAGTGGACATGGAGACAGACATTTGGATATGTTTGTGTTACCTATTTGAGACCTGTATCCAGTGGACATGGAGACAGACATTTGGATATGTTTGTGTTACCTATTTGAGACCTGTATCCAGTGGACATGGAGACAGACATTTGGATATGTTTGTGTTACCTATTTGAGACCTGTATCCAGTGGACATGGAGACAGACATTTGGATATGTTTGTGTTACCTATTTGAGACCTGTATCCAGTGGACATGGAGACAGACATTTGGATATGTTTGTGTTACCTATTTGAGACCTGTATCCAGTGGACATGGAGACAGACATTTGGATATGTTTGTGTTACCTATTTGAGACCTGTATCCAGTGGACATGGAGACAGACATTTGGATATGTTTGTGTTACCTATTTGAGACCTGTATCCAGTGGACATGGAGACAGACATTTGGATATGTTTGTGTTACCTATTTGAGACCTGTATCCAGTGGACATGGAGACAGACATTTGGATATGTTTGTGTTACCTATTTGAGACCTGTATCCAGTGGACATGGAGACAGACATTTGGATATGTTTGTGTTACCTATTTGAGACCTGTATCCAGTGGACATGGAGACAGACATTTGGATATGTTTGTGTTACCTATTTGGGACCTGTATCCAGTGGACATGGAGACAGACATATGGATATGTTTGTGTTACCTATCTGAGACCTGTATCCAGTGGACTTGGAGACAGACATTTGGATATGTTTGTGTTACCTATTTGGGACCTGTATCCAGTTGACTTGTATACAGACATTGGGATATGTTTGTGTTACCTATTTGAGACCTGTATCCCGTGGACATAGATACAGACATTGGGATATGTTTGTGTTACCTATTTGGGACCTGTATCCAGTGGACTTGGATACAGACATTTGGATATGTTTGTGTTACCTATTTGGGACCTGTATCCAGTGGACATGGATACGGACATTTGGATAGGTTTGTGTTACCTATTTGAGACCTGTATCCAGTGGACATAGATACAGACATTGGGATATGTTTGTGTTACCTATTTGAGACCTGTATCCAGTGGACTTGGAGACAGACATTGGGATATGTTTGTGTTACCTATTTGGGACCTGTATCCAGTGGATATGGAGACAGACATTGGGATATGTTTGTGTTAACTATTTGAGACCTGTATCCAGTGGACATGGAGACAGACATTTGGATATGTTTGTGTTCCCTATCTGAGACCTGTATCCAGTGGACTTGGATACAGACATTTGGATATGTTCGTGTTACCTATTTGGGACCTGTATCCAGAGGATATGGAGACAGACATTGGATCCAGTGGACTTGGAGACAGACATTGGGATATGTTTGTGCCAACTATTTGAGACCTGTATCCAGTGGACTTGGAGACAGACATTTGGATATGTTTGTGTTCCCTATCTGAGACCTGTATCCAGTGGACATAGATACAGACATTGGGATATGTTTGTGCCAACTATTTGAGACCTGTATCCAGGGGACTTGGATACAGACATTTGGATATGTTTGTGTTACCTATTTGGGACCTGTATCCAGTTGATTTGGAGAAGGACATCAGTGCTAACAGAAAGAATATTGAAGACAGTGCCTCTGCTCTTCCAACCACTCCAGTCACCTGTAAATAAAATACACACATTTGTATAGCTCTATTTTACAATATAGGTTTAAGAAATTAAAATATATATTTAATACATCATAAATGTAATCAATTTTTCAAAAAACTGTGCGCAACTTTTCACTAACTTTTGGCCAAACATTATTTAAGTTTCAGATATATACAGTATCATATATATGTATAATATAAGGCACATTCAAATTTATTTAGATTTAAGACAAATTACAAACTTACAGCCTCCACATGGATTGGGTGGATAGCAAAGAGGAAGGCTGCCACAAAACTGGCGAGGTCCGGCAGGAACATACGACACATTCTACAAGGAAAAAAATCCAAAAAGAGAATGTGGAGCAGTGCACACAAAACAACAGGAAGTGAAATATTACAATCAAGACAACAGGAAGTGAAATATTACAATCAAGACAACAGGAAGTGATATATTACAATCAAGACAACAGGAAGTGGAATAGCATATGCAAACCATTTTTTTTCCAATATTATAAACTTAAAAACAGACATGGAATGTCACAAACTCTACAACAGGAAGTGAATTAAAAGGTCTCTTATTTCAGATCACCAATATTATATTTAACTTTATACAGGCTAACATACCAGGTACAACTAGGAAAAATGATATAAATTCTTCAAAACACATCTGGCTGAGGTAACAAAAATTGATATTGATTGACAGTTAAAAGAGTAATAGTTTACTTCATGAACAGGAGGCAGACGACAGCATGGAGGATGACGTTAACAAGATGGTAGCCCATGGTGTCGAGCTCATGGAGAAGGTAGTTGAGACGAAAGGTCAACACACATAGTGGTCGGTAGGACTTGTGACTCTTCTCCTACATTGGTGTAAGAAATGGAACAGGTGTTATCGTATCATTCTCAAATAGTCACACTTAAGTTTTCTAGTTAGTAGTGTATACATGTGAAACAAAGTATTAGGTAGACAAAGATGCCTACAGAGGATCCTGAATGAAAACATATGTAGTGACATCACAGTTAAGTTAGTTATAGTAACTTGAAGTTTTTTTCCCAAATACTGCATTAATATACCAATTGTATCTCCTCACAAAAAATTGGTGGCCGGATGTCGCTGAAAAATATTACTAAACGAACTAAGGACCTTTTGGTTCTTCAGAAAAAGTCATTTGAAGTTTTAAGATATATTTGACCCCTGTGACCTTGAAGGTGGGTCAAGGTCATTTTTGTTTTCAAACTTTGTTGGGCTCCATCCTATAAATCTACCAGCTTAATATCCTGACTCAAGGACCTTTAGTTCTCCGGAGAAAGCTACATGTCAAATATCATGACAGTAGGCCTTTAGTTCTCTGGAGAAAGCTACATGTCAAATATCATGTCAGTAGGCCTTTAGGTCTCCGGAGAAAGCTACATGTCAAATATCATGTCAGTAGGACTTTAGGTCTCCGGAGAAAGCTACATGTCAAATATCATGACAGTATGCCTTTAGTTCTCCGGAGAAAGCTACATGTCAAATATCATGTCAGTAGGACTTTAGGTCTCCGGAGAAAGCTACATGTCAAATATCATGTCAGTAGGCCTTTAGTTCTCCGGAGAAAGTTACATGTCAAATATCATGTCAGTAGGCCTTTAGGTCTCCGGAGAAAGCTACATGTCAAATATCATGTCAGTAGGCCTTTAGTTCTCCGGAGAAGCTACATGTCAAATATCATGACAGTAGGCCTTTAGGTCTCCGGAGAAAGCTACATGTCAAATATCATGTCAGTAGGCCTTTAGTTCTCCGAGGAAAGCTACATGTCAAATATCATGACAGTAGGCCTTTAGTTCTCCGGAGAAAGCTACATGTCAAATATCATGACAGTAGGACTTTAGTTCTCCGGAGAAAGCTACATGTCAAATATCATGACAGTAGGCCTTTAGTTCTCTGGAGAAAGCTACATGTCAAATATCATGTCAGTAGGCCTTTAGGTCTCCGGAGAAAGCTACATGTCAAATATCATGACAGTAGGCCTTTTGTTTTTTTAGAAGTTGTTTCACAGGAAAGTTGACGATGGATGGACAGATGGCAGATGCCGTGTCACAGCATAAGCTCACTAATAAATCTAACAAATATCATTCATGACAACATTTGAAATAAATATTTCTTTTGAAAGAAAAGCTTGTCCTATGATCATGTTAATTTTTTTTAAAAGTGTCCATTTCCCCGAAGATATGTTCATTTCAATATTGACATGTGTGCAACTAATGATGATATATAATTACTACTGAGGTGATCTGATCAACATGATAGAATCTTAGTCTGTAGTTTCAAAGTGGGGTAATTATATAATAAGTTGCCTAAATACATGCCCCTCTTTTGGGGCCCATTTTCTTATTGGCAATGCTGACCTTTATTTTCGTTATTACAGATGATCAATGTGACATTTTCAGTAATTTTGAAGTAATAATTTATAAGATAACATATGTCATACTGATATGAAATTACAGCGTTAAAAACAGGTCTACGTACTGTGTAACTTCTGTCAGCAGTTCTTGTCTTGGTCATCGTTAAATTTAAACTGGCTCGTTTCGAAATCGTCACAGTATTGTATTGGCGTTATATTTAATAGGGCTTTCCAGTACAAATATGTTGGTTAAACTGGATATTTGGATGACCTATGAACATAGGGATAGCAAGGAAGCATAATTGGCAGTGCAGACAACATGTACATTCAATAGATAAAATATTGCTTCTAACACTATGTCCCTTTGATAATAATTGTAAACTAGTAAGCTCTTGGGACAACAGTATGTCCTACCTGTAAACTGTGTACACACAGAAATAAATACCTTGTGCATGGGCGTACCCCAAAAGTCATTCCAGAGGAGTCGTTGTACTGGGACATGGGGTCGCAGATCTCTATTTTCTACAATTGCCGAGACATCATCGAACACAAAACCAGCCTCCAAGGAGTTGTAGTAGCACACGGCCACTGTCAGCACCACAGCAAGCTGGTACATCATCAGCTGCTCCATCACAAACACTACAAAATAATGGTAACACGGTGTTTACAAGCAGCATTGAACAGACTTATGTACTTATAAAATTATATCTTTAAAGTAATAATAATGATAATAATAATGATACTGGACGCAGGCAATATGCCTATATATCCAGATCTGGAATATCGTCAGACACTATGCCGACGTCCCGGCAATGAATAAGTTCATTATTGTCCATCTCATGGTTATAGAAACAATCAGGTTGTCCCCAATACTTATCCAGACAGGATTCCAATGTTTTGATTGTTGGTGAGGTGACGACAGTATCGGGTAGGGACTTCCAGTGGTTTACAATACGTTCTTTAAAAACATATTTTCTTAAGCTCAACCTGCACATCCCCTTTAGTAGTGTGAGACTGTGGCCTCTTGTTCTTTTGTTATTATTTAGGCATAAAAATCCTTTGCTGACCGCGTTATCGTATCCTCCGTGAGTTAGTTTGTACACTTGAACCATGTCTCCTCGCAGTCTTCTATGCTTGAGTGTTGGTAGTTTTAATATCCTTAATCTGTGATCATAGTTCAACTCCTTCATTCCCGGTATTTGTTTAGTCGCTCTTCTTTGTACATTTTCCAGTTCATTTATGTGTTTTTGTAGGTAGGGATTCCATACGCTGGCCCCGTAATCCAGGTGCGGTCTTACAAGCGCTTTATACAAAAGACAGAATGTTGTATTGTCTAAATATGTGTAAGTTCTTCGGATAGTTCCCATTATTCTGTTTGCTTTATTGACCGAGTCGGGGATATGATCGCTGAAATCTAGGTTATTGTCCGTAATAATTCCTAGATCCTTTTCTTTTGTTATGTTTTCCAAAGTGACATCGACCCTCCCATCTTCCGTATCTTTATACAAATGTAGTGGTGCGTTGTTTATGTTCTTTCCTAAGGTGAAATTTTAACAACCATTTATCTGACCATTCTTGGAGCTGGTCAAGATCATCCTGTAGGGTACTATTTTGATCATAATTGTAAATTTTTGTATCATATGCAAACAAGAATGTTGCTGCGTTGATTGTTTCTGGGAGGTCATTTATGTAGATTACAAATAAGGATGGCCCTAAAACACTACCCGGTGGAATCCCACTAGTTACCTCCATCCATTTAGACGTTTCACCATTGACTGATACTCTCTGCTTCCGGTTTGTTATGAAACTGTGTACCCACCGTACAATTTCCGGTGATAGTCCGTATGATCTTAATTTGCCTATTAAACGTAAGTGGGGAACAGTGTCCACGGCCTTCATAAAATCAAGATAAACTGTTTGGATTGATCTCCCTTGGTCGAGAACCTCCGTCCAGTCGTCAATTACTTTTAACAGCTGAAGTTCGTGATTTTTGATGGATTTTTTTTAGGCAAGCTCTATACATCATTACATAACAGATGCATGATATAGACAAGATCAGCAATAAAGTCTACTCAACATTGAGCTTTCCGAGAAGGAACTGGAAAATGTGTCCATCACCACTAAAATCCTATACATACAAAACTCTCATGAAATCAATGATAGAACATGGCTCTAGATCTTGGAACCCCAATCACCACTAAAACCCTCACCATACAAAACTCTCATGAAATCAAAGATAGAATATGTATGGCTCTACAGTGTGGGGCCCCAATCACCACTAAAACCCTCTCCATACAAAACTCTCATGAAATCAAAGATAGAATATGTATGGCTCTACAGTGTGGGGCCCCAATCACCACTAAAACCCTCTACATACAAAACTCATGAAATCAATGATAGAACCTTGGCTCTACAGTTTGGGACCCCCATCACCACTAAAACCCTCTCCATACAAAACTCTCATGAAATCAAAGATAGAATATGTATTGCTCTACAGTGTGGGGCCCCAATCACCACTAAAACCCTCTCCATACAAAACTCTCATGAAATCAATGATAGAACATGGCTCTACAGTGTGGGGCCCCCATAACCACCAAAACCCTCTCCATACAAAACTCTCATGAAATCAATGATAGAACATGCCTCTACAGTGTGGGGCCCCAATCACCACTAAAACCCTCTACATACAAAACTCTAATGAAATCAATGATAGAACATGGCTCTACAGTGTGGGACCCCAATCACCACTAAAACCCTCTACATACAAAACTCTAATGAAATCAATGATAGAACATGGCTCTACAGTGTGGGGCCCCCATCACCACTAAAACCCTCTACATACAAAACTCTAATGAAATCAATGATAGAACATGGCTCTACAGTGTGGGGCCCCCATAACCACTAAAACCCTCTACATACAAAACTCTCATGACATCAATGATAGAACATGGCTCTACAGTGTGGGGCCCCCATAACCACTAAAACCCTCTACATACAAAACTCTCATGGAATCAATGATAGAACATGGCACTACAGTTTGGGACCCCAATCACCCCTAAAACCCTCTACATACAAAACTCTCATGAAATCAATGATAGAACATGGCACTACAGTTTGGGACCCCAATCACCACTAAAACCCTCTAAATACAAAACTCTCATGAAATCAATGATAGAACATGGCTCTACAGTGTGGGGCCGAAATCACCACTAAAACCCTCTCCATACAAAACTCTCATGAAATCAAAGATGGAATATGTAGTGCTCTACAGTGTGGGGCCCCAATCACCACCAAAACCCTCTACATACAAAACTCTCATGAAATCATGGCTCTACAGTGTGGGGCCCCAATAGTGTGGGGCCCCAATCACCACTAAAACCCTCTACATACAAAACTCTCATGAAATCATGGCTCTACAGTGTGGGGCCCCAATAGTGTGGGGCCCCAATCACCACTAAAACCCTCTAAATACAAAGCTCTCATGAAATCAATGATAGAACAGGGCTCTAGATTTTGGGACCCCAATCACCACTAAATCCCTCTCCATACAAAACTCTCATGAAATCGATGATAGAACATGGCTCTACAGTTTGGGACCCCCATCACCACTAAAACCCTCTACATACAAAACTCTCATGAAATCAATAATAGAACATGGCTCTACAGTGTGGGTCCGAAATCACCACTAAAACCCTCTCCATTCAAAACTCTCATGAAATCAATGATAGAACAGGGCTCTAGATTTTGGGACCCCAATCACCACTAAACCCCTCTAAATACAAAACTCTCATGAAATCAAAGATAGAATATGTATTGCTCTACAGTGTGGGGCCCCAATAGTGTGGGGCCCCAATCACCACTAAAACCCTCTAAATACAAAGCTCTCATGAAATCAATGATAGAACAAGGCTCTAGATTTTGGGACCCCCATCACCACTAAAACCCTCTACATACAAAACTCTCATGAAATCAACGATAGAACATGGTTCTACAGTGTGGGGCCCCCATCACCACTAAAACCCTCTACATACAAAACTCTCATGAAATCATGGCTCTACAGTGTGGGGCCCCAATTACCACTAAAACCCTCTACATACAAAACTCTCATGAAATCAATGATAGAACATGGCTCTACAGTGTTGGGCCCCCATAACCACTAAAACCCTCTCCATACAAAACTCTCATGAAATCAATGATAGAACATGGCTCTACAGTGTGGGGCCCCAATCACCACTAAAACCCTCTACATACAAAACTCTCATGAAATCAACGATAGAACATGGCTCTACAGTGTGGGGCCCCAATCAACACTAAAACCCTCTACATACAAAACTCTCATGAAATCAATGATAGAACCTTGGCTCTACAGTTTGGGACCCCTCCATACAAAACTCTCATGAAATAAAAAATAGAACATGGCTCTACCGTGTGGGGCCCCAATTACCACGAAAACCCTCTACATACAATCAATGATAGAACATGGCTCTACAGTTTGGGACCCCTCCATACAAAACTCTCATGAAATCAATGATAGAACATGGCTCTACAGTTTGGGACCCCCATCACCAATAAAACCTTCTACATGCAAAACTCTCATGAAATCAATAATAGAACATGGCTCTAGATTTTGGGGCCGCCATTAAAACTATAGAATAAAACAGAGTAGCAAGGTTCATCAGTATAAGAGAAACATGACCTGGACACTGTTGAGAACAGACAAATGTACCTCGACTTAGTTACCGTAGTACTCTCTTGTATCATAGTAAATGGCTATCTCTTGTATCATAGTAAATGGCTTTCTCTTGTATCATAGTAAATGGCTTTCTCTTGTATCATAGTAAATGGCTTTCTCTTGTATCATAGTAAATGGCTATCTCTTGTATCATAGTAAATGGCTATCTCTTGTATCATAGTAAATGGCTATCTCTTGTATCATAGTAAATGGCTATCTCTTGTATCATAGTAAATGGCTATCTCTTGTATCATAGTAAATGGCTATCTCTTGTATCATAGTAAATGGCTATCTCTTGTATCATAGTAAATGGCTATCTCTTGTATCATAGTAAATGGCTATCTCTTGTATCATAGTAAATGGCTATCTCTTGTATCATAGTAAATGGCTATCTCTTGTATCATAGTAAATGGCTATCTCTTGTATCATAGTAAATGGCTATCTCTTGTATCATAGTAAATGGCTATCTCTTGTATCATAGTAAATGGCTATCTCTTGTATCATAGTAAATGGCTATCTCTTGTATCATAGTAAATGGCTATCTCTTGTATCATAGTAAATGGCTATCTCTTGTATCATAGTAAATGGCTATCTCTTGTATCATAGTAAATGGCTATCTCTTGTATCATAGTAAATGGCTATCTCTTGTATCATAGTAAATGGCTTTCTCTTGTATCATAGTAAATGGCTATCTCTTGTATCATAGTAAATGGCTATCTCTTGTATCATAGTAAATGGCTTTCTCTTGTATCATAGTAAATGGCAATCTCTTGTATCATAGTAAATGGCTATCTCTTGTATCATAGTAAATGGCTTTCTCTTGTATCATAGTAAATGGCAATCTCTTGTATCATAGTAAATGGCTATCTCTTGTATCATAGTAAATGGCTTTCTCTTGTATCATAGTAAATGGCTTTTTCTTGTATCATAGTAAATGGTTTTCTCTTGTATCATAGTAAATGGCTATCTCTTGTATCATAGTAAATGGCTTTCTCTTGTATCATAGTAAATGGCGTTCTCTTGTATCATAGTAAATGGCTCCGCATGACGTAAGCTAACACCAATGATGACCATCTAGAAAGGAAAAATACAAAAATAACAACCAAATTTTTGTATCATTTTCCCATAAATTTCAGCCATCATTTTCCTCTAAAACAAAACAAACAAGGACGGAAAAATATATATGCCCAACCGACGCCAAACTGACATTCTTAAAACCCTAACCTACGCCAAACTGACATTCTTAAAACCCTAACCGACGCCAAACTGACATTCTTAAAACCTAACCGACGCCAAACTGACATTCTTCAAACCCTAACCGACGCCAAACTGACATTCTTAAAACCCTTCTAACTTATACAGTTGTGGGATGGCACATTGTTACACAATATCGGTGTGCGCAAGTTGTACACACCATGTGCTAACGATAAAAATCTGGACGATTATTGCTTTTACGCACATTTGTGCGCAGGATGGATGAGGACTGTGTGGTACGGTTTCGTGTTTAAACATATAAACTTGATTTTTGATTAAAAGTACGTTTCTACATTCAAGCTACATCTTTCACCTTGTCTTTTAATCTATATTTTCTTAAATTGATAAATAGTGTTTTCAGTGTACCTGTTTTATAACTGTAAAATCGTTATTACTTTCAGGTAAAATAAATGTATCCTTTTGAATTTTTTAATATTTATATTTCATCTACTACCACGTGTCATTATAATTCTTTAAAAAGAAAATAGAATATATTTTTAATAAGGTAGACATTAGTTCTTAATAATAATATGTATTACACTACCATCTACATCATTTTGAAACAGACTACAAAATGTATGTATAACCAAATTGTTATTAGGTGTGAAATTTAAATGTATGCTAGGTGCACGAGACTAGGTATTTTAGAAATGTATGCTAGTGAGACTAGGTATTTTAGAAATGTATGCTAGGTGAGACTAGGTATTTTAGAAATGTATGTTAGGTGAGACTATATTTAGGTATTTAAGAGATGTATGCTATGTGAGACTAAACCGAAAATCCAGATGAAGGAGAGCTGTAGACCAAAAATGAATGCAAATAACAAATACTTAACATCCAGTTGTGTTTCTGTAACGGTCATACGGTATCACATATCAGCTCTCTGTGTAAGGCATGGTCAGGTAAAACTCTGGTCAATCATCTTAATGTTATTTACCTGTTCCGTTAACTGGGAGCCAAACCCATTCTTGACAGTCTAACGGTCACTGTAATACAGTGTTACTGTAACACGCATGTAATATTGAACATTATCTTAATTATTGTGATCGGAAATTAATATATACAGTATTACTCAGTAAAATTAATATATACAGTATTACTCAGTAAAATTAATATATAAAGTATTACTCAGTAAAATTAATATATACAATATTACTCAGTAAAATTAATATATACAGTATTACTCAGTAAAATTAATATATACAGTATTACTCAGTAAAATTAAGAACTATTCCTGAAAAAGAAAAAACATACTGTACTTGAATAACTGCAACTGAAGGAATCAATTTATTTCATATATCCTTTACAACCGTCAAAAAATCTATTTGTGTCAAAGTTGCTTCCCTTATAAATTTGTCAAAATTTTAAACCATGAATATAGTATGATTTTGATGAAACATGGTAGGCATGTAGAACATACACATGGAAGCACGGTAGTCTAGTGATAAGATGCCAGACTCATGACCGAAGGGTTGCGAGTTCGATTCACGTCACGGCACTGTGTTGTATCTTTGAACAAGATACTTTGATATGATTGTTCCAGTCTACTCAGCTGTAAATGAGTATGTGATTAGGCAGTGCTAGAATTGTTGAATGCTAGCTGTGAGTGCCGAAATGGCAACACTGGCTGGATGCTCCCAAGGGCGTTGAGAAAGATATTGGCTGGTTGCAAAGGCCCTATAACCACGGATAATAATTTGTGAACCGCTTTGAGACGATTGACCTACCAACAAGGTTGTGATAAAGCGGTATATAAGAACCTCAAATTATTATTATTATTAGTAACTGATATTTTACATGTGATATTTTTTGTATGTGATGTATTTTTCCTTATGCGATATACATTTTTCTTGCTTGTTGAAATATACATGATAAATTCTAGCTTGTTGAAATATATTGATATCTATTTCCTCTTATTATTACAATGTTTTATATTGATATAATCACTATGTTAGTCTTATCCATTTATTTCCATGCTGTTAAAGCACTGTTATCTCAATATGTCAATAATGTATTTTTTCATTTATTGTGCACATATCTTGCAGAACTTAGTCATGCATATATAGTTTAAATTAGAAATGTCTCAAATCTCTTGTGCATTGTATTTTGCAGCACTTTGTCAGAATGTATATATTGTATCAGGGATGTGTAGTGGATTGTATCCAATGTTTTGTTGTGTTTAATACTGTTTTTGTCTTACCCTCTTATTACATAAATTGTTTGTCAAAATACAAGTTCCTGACAGTTTATATCATTTGTTGTACCGGATACATAGTCATTGTACATTAGAATGAAAGTTCATCTGATGTGTTGCATTGGTATATTGATAATTATGTAACAGGAGAGGAAAAATGCACGGCCAGACCTTCCGAACTCTAGACGGACACTCAACCAATTAAGCTATCTGGTCGTCGACGATCGACCCAGTCCAGTTCCACTACAATTATAACAAACTTTAGTTCACAACGTAAAAACTATGTCCTTAGATATTTCAGCCAGTTCTGGGGCCTTTCTTAGATGTGCCAGGTGTAATTTACCAGAGGTCTCATGACCTTTTGGACATGTGACCTCAGGAGCAAGACATAGGCACTGGTAGAGGATACCTCCGACGTGCTGTTTTAGAGTTGGCTGGTTACGTGAGTTTTTATTTTTTACACTATACTGTACTACAAGAGTTTTTGCAATTTCTGTATTGACATCGGTGGGTTGGATTGACTAACATGTTAACACGGAACCAATAACTTAATTCCCATTAGTGAACTATACATGTATATTAGATGTACCCGAGGTTATCGTGAGGAACAGGTATAAGAAGGGGCTTGTTTTGACCACAGTACAGTCGCTTTCAACTACTGTACTTTTCTAATTATGACCGAGAGATCGGTTAGCGAATAGCGATACCGTGTCAGCAGTCCCTACACGTCACCAGTCGATATTCTGAGCTTTACAAATTAGCTTATAAACACCCAGACAACGATGGCTGTTGTTTGTCATGCTTACCTTGTGTTGAAAGCGGTTTCAACGTTAGAGCATTATGAGAGTTATTTTTTCCATCCCGAGCGACCGGTTTAGTGGATATTACATTTCTATCTCTCGCGATGGAGAGTTCCGAAAAGTTGACAGATGATCACGCCCACCCCACTCCTCTACCAGCTTGCGGAGAGGTGCTACTGGCTTTATACGTGTCTGTTTAAACTTGAAAAAGAGGTACATACCTTAAGTGGGGAAAATGATTGAATCTATAAAGTCCTTCTTCTTCAATACAAATTAATTAGTTTTGACCAAATAGGATTAGGAGTATACTATTGATAAACGGCGATATTGATCACGTGGGGCAGAGGGGTTGGGCTCAGAAGGGGAAATATATATATATGTAAATATTTAACATTCTTCTCCGTACGTTCGGATACATTGATTCGATTTTGATTGAATTTAAAATGGAAAATGGGCTTTTGTAAATAAAGTTTGATGAAATGTAAAAAAAAAAAATGACCTAAAAATCAGCTCTACAAACTCACAAATAATTTGAAGGGAAAGGAAAAATGAAATCCCCATCTGCAAAAATCACAAAGAACTGTCACACAGCTTCAGCGATTTCTCCGTGAATAAAATTACACTGAAAAATCAGAGAAAGGCTAGCAAACAACTACGACTTTACAATATACAAGATACAGGATTTTTTTTTTTTTTTTTAACATCGCATACTTAAAACAATAAAAATTAGCAGTCACGGTTGATATTATAAAAGGGAACATCAGACGAACTTAACTCCGGTAATGAATAAAGAACATCATAATAAAATCACCAACAAAATCATAAAATTTTGACCCTATATATTCCAACTGCAATTTTGAAACAACGTTTGGACAATATGCTGACGTTTATAACTGTGACCATACCCAACCAAAAGTGCCAACGCCCTTCAAGCAAGCAATAGTACGACCATTGCTTTAAGAAACCTGGTCTGGATGAAGAGGAATTGGAACATTACCGATTCGTTAAAATCTGCATTTTTTAGTCAAAAGTCTTAGAGGAGGTTGTTTCAAAACGTCTGGAAGCTCATTAGGACGTAAACTTCCTTCACGACAACTGCAATCAGGCTACTGTGCCTTTCATAGTTCAGAAGCTGCTCTATTACGAGTACATCGTGATATTGTAACAATTCAGTTTCAAGTTCTTTATTGATTTTAAGCCTTACGACTTATCAGTGTAAACATATAATAACATGATATTTACAGATGTACAAAAGCCCCATTGGTCACAGGAGAATGAACAACACACATACACAAACTGTCACATATCTGATCGGCGCTTATTTGCCGCTATCAGATACTTTCCAATGTTACACAATTCTTTAATATTCTGCGTATTAAGTAGTTGAACAAGCTTATATACATTGGGGTTATTACTATAGTAACATTTTAAATACTGCCGTCTTAAATAAGTACATCTTGTGCAAACTAAAAAAAATGAAACTCGTCTTCTATGGCATTAAGATTACACTTTGTACATAATCTATTAGTTCTATCAATGCCAACATAAAGCCCAGATTCAATGATTAATTTGTGAGCTGACAGTCTAAGTCGAGCAATTTCTTTAATATAACCGATATTAATTGATTTTGTTAGATACGATTGTAGTAATATTGTATTATTTAACAGACCCGGACAACAGCTGTACCTATACTGCTTGACATATCAGTTACCTGTTATTGACCATGACAGTCTCATCAGGCGTCTGGCAGTCTAGTACGACAATTCGTGTCTTCTCAAAGGACAAGGCTCAGTATTTGGTCTAAAAAATACTGTCTGTATACCAATCTCGTTGATCAGATCTGTCTGTATACCAATCTCGTTGGTCAGATCTGTCTGTATACCAATCTCGTTAGTCAGATCTGTCTGTATACCAATCTCGTTGGTCAGATCTGTCTGAAAAACTACATGTGTTATCATTGTTATCTCAAACTAAATCAGAACAAAACATAATTTATGGGGTTTCTTTTCTCTAAAACATCAGAATGAAGACAATTCAACTTATCGGATCAACGTAGAGGGATAAACGCAGTACCTGTGGTAAAAATGTAGTTAGGTACATTTTTTGACATATTTCCGATGATGTATCTTGGATCCTGGGAATGTATTGCAATGTTAGAGAAATAGATCTTTAGGGGCAACGGAATTCCGTCTTTGCGTATTGCAGAGTTATCTTCTCTTTGGAGCAGGGATTGATTGTTACGTCATTGGTTTGTGTAAGAAAATTACGTCGTTTTCTCAAAAATTGATGACGTTACTCTTACAAACAAAAGACGTAACAATCAATACCTGCTCCCAAGAGAAGATAACTCTGCAATACGCAAAGACGGAATAGGCCAATTGGCTGTTTAAATATTTTTAAGTCTAATTCTTCTGAAGTGTCGATTGTATTCCAAACAGATTCACTATAAAATATTCCTGGGGCAAGGGAGTTAAATGTTGTACAAAGACTGGAAGTTTCCCCCTGGATGCTTAGAAACCTAGCCGTAAGTAGTATACCTATGCAGCAGGTGAACACTGTTGCCTCCATTGTTTGAATATCCCAGTGAGTGATACACTTGTTTGGTATGTTTTACTTGTGAGTAAGAAACCTGAACAAAAATCATGCATCATGATTTGCTCTCAGTTGACTTCTTTTTGAATTCAAAATTACCATTTTTTCATTTTTTTCTAGAAAAACGTGGACAAAGACAAAATAATTCATTTAACTCATAGTTTTCCTCAAGTCATAGTCGAATGAGGACTTCATTCTCTCAGCATCAGAGAAAAACAAACTTCAGCTTGGTGAATTTGGTAAACATTTTTGGGTGACAAAACAGTCAAAATTTTAGATAAATTGTCAAACTGGTACTGATTTGTAGTCCATGAAATAATCACCAACTTTATCTGTTTTTTCAGTAAAAATAATCATGAATTAAACATTTGTGCCCAGTATTTATAAAACTTGGTAAACAAGGATTGGTATGTTTGACATGTGTAATTGTGATAGGTTTATCTCGGTCGTTTTTATAGGAGTTCTGCACGAGAACCACGGAATGTACCTCAGTTATGAGTCTGAGGATACCTACAGTCAATGAGATGTGCAGTGCAATGGGTTATATAACTTCAAAATTTACAGTAGAATTGAAAATAAATGTCAGTTGCTATTTTGATAGAGCCTAAAGTATCACAGTAATTCACACCGTTTTTCCAAGCCCCAAACAAACAAACACACATATATAAAGTCAATGCATGGTGACAAGCACCAGTAGGTCAGAGGTTGGAGAAAATGGAAGATTGTCAGTTCCGTGCAATGTTTTCATACTAACACAAAATGTTGGTTAATATCATAAAAAGTACTTCCAGGACGCCCACAGCTGTGTCACCATGACAGGTATCCTGTAGAGACTTTAGTAGAACTTGGTACTTCCAGGACGCCCACAGCTGTGTCACCATGACAGGTATCCTGTAGAGACATTAGTAGAGTAAGTATAGGGTTTGATAAAACTGTTATTACAACATTGATATACGGATGTGAAGTATAGGGTTTGATAAAACTGTATTTCTACATTGTTATACAGATGTTAAGTATAGGGTTTGATAAAACTGTATTTCTACGTTGTTATACAGATGTGAAGTATAGGGTTTGATAAAACTGTATTTCTACGTTGTTTATAGATGTGAAGTATAGGGTTTGATAAAACTGTAATTACAACATTGATATACGGATGTGAAGTATAGGGTTTGATAAAACTGTTATTACAACATTGATATACGGGTGTGAAGTATAGGGGTTGATAAAACTGTATTTCTACGTTGTTTATAGATCTGAAGTATAGGGTTTGATAAAACTGTAATTACAACATTGATATACGGAGGTGAAGTATAGGGTTTGATAAAACTGTTATTACAACATTGATATACGGATGTGAAGTATAGGGTTTGATAAAACTGTAATTACAACATTGATATGCGGATGTGAAGTAAAGGTTTGATAAAACGGGGGTTCCCGAAAACTTATAGGAATGTGAAGTTTATGTTATAAAGAGAACGACTTTGTCTAAAATGGTTCACGCAAATATGTTGATGATGTACGAGTATATTTATAAACAATTTATATTAAATGAAGAAAACGGTGGAAAATTAAAATCGATCAAAATTCAAGAATTTTGCCTGAGGTTTGTCTAACAATGACTGAATGATGGTATTGGTCTGCCTGGAAGTACAATCAAATAAGTGTTGAATGGTAGTTTTCATTCAATATCAATGTAACTGATTTGCCTTCGTGCAGGCTGAATGTTTAAAATAGCTGCGACACATGTTTCAGTAGATCAGTATTATACCATCGATGAACGCTGGATAGTGTTATAGTCTCGCATGCTCTCGGCTCTAGTTTAATGGCGGAGCTCCGCACATGTGCTGTGCCCCAAGGTCCGCATTTTCTTCCTCTGTTATTTTATAAAGGAATAGCAATCAACCACCAAATAGACGGCTCGTCTTCTTTTAATTGCAAAGTGTTAACTAATCAATTAATTCGGTACAGAGAGAGTCACATCTGATATTAAGCCTCATTGACATCATTCACACCTCAGAGTGGCAAAGCCAATAACAGACCAGAGGACAGACCTTCTACATATTTAAATATGTTCGAGTTATCTCCCTTAGTCCTACAACCGAACCTCTGCTAGGTGTTTTTTTTTCATTTTAAAAATCAGAGAAAAAAATTCTACATTTTTGTAACAAATCAAATGAGCAAAACGGTATTCCTTTTAAAAGTCACGAAAACGTCTTTTTTCGTTCGAATTAATTTACTGAGTTTACTAATTCTGAGTATATGTGTCATTAAATAAAGCGAACTTCAATTGAAACCAGGCTGTCTTTCCGTTTTAAAGGTATACCCCATACAACCGTGACCTTTAAATTGTTTTCGGTTGGGGATTACGGTTTTCTACACCCTCCCACACTAATTGGGCCAATTTGAATTACTGTTGCTATGACGTGGTCATGTGATGTCGGGGCGGATCACGACGCACCTCTATAACTGAATAGGTAGAGACAGACGGTTTATTGGTCAGTTATGTATTAGTCGGCATCATCATTGTTCGGCGACTATTACAGTGGATATTGCATAGTCCAGTGTGGTCAGTGTCCGGAGCGGCCTATATGTATACATCTCTTTGATAGACTTGACAGCTATTTGACAATAGGATCATATATTTATTTTCAATGCAAACAAGAATGTGACCGCAGTGTAGGGTAAACAACATTTGAACATGCGTGTAAGTAGGGTTGCTGACAGAAACTGGAGTCACCGTCACTGGTAGGAGGGACCGTGGGAGCCAGAGACGTATTACCCCTCCCCTCACACAGAGCAGGCAGCCCGTGTATAATCTGGCGCGCTCTCGACCCGTAGTAAAGCTGTAGTAAGCGTTGGCTGTATCTGATGCTGACGTTCTCGGTCATACAGTCACTTAGGAAGTAGACTTGCATGACTATGGCGTTGTAACGTTACCCGCAATGTCCAATATATTTGTATTTTGTGCACCAGTTTTTATTCTATGGATGTTAAAATGTGTTCATGGACAGTCTATTGAAAGTGTATGCAAGGAATCATGTGAGGCGAATCTGGTAAGTTGACGTTCACTCTTTCTATTGTTTTAAACTTTAAAATAAACACATGGCCTTTCCAAATTTGAGAGTCGGTATCACTGGAAGCCAGTCGTGTAATGTCGATAAGAGTATTTCACTCGGAAGCATCACACATGGAAATGAGGGCCAAGCTACAGTGATTTGTAACCGTTTTGGACCATTTACAATGATTTCACTCCGTATAGATAGGGTTTCTCCAAACAGTCGCTGTATGCTGGGGACACTCGGTGTATACGTGGTGCAAACCTGTATTGTATTTTATAATGGTACGACATTTTCACCATTGACTTTTGACGAAGTATTTCCTATCATTTCATATATCCTGTCCACGGGAAAAAATACAATCACTTAATAGTTTATTAGCTATGGTCTAAGTACAGGGTGAAGAAAGTCCTAAGTATTTGATAAATTACTCGGAGTTCTGATCACAAATGTAAAACCAATAAATCTCGCTACCCCCAATATCAGAGTTAATTTGGCGTGACTTACGATGACCAGTAGTGGACTTCCCTAAGATGACACGAGCTCGTTAGACCCACGCCGACTGACCAGTTGGGTACCAATTGGATCCTTGCTGGAACAGGGAGCGGTCAAGTGTTTATCACTGTTATCGGTGCGACCGACACCTGTAACAATTAAAAGGGGATTTTGTTTGAATTGTTTCTGAATCAGGACATTTCACAATTATGCTTCATGACATATGGTATGATATATGTCGATGTTTGGCACGCTCATAGCCCAGTGGAAGCTATATATGTGGGTCAAATGGTACCTTGACCACTGGATTTCAAGATGGCGCCGGTGAGTGTGCACGTACCTAGTGAGCACGGAAAGTAATTGACCAACGTGTGTGGTTTGCGGCTTCAAAGATACCACTGGATTGCTCCGTTTAGAGGTCTCGGCTCGCAAGTGGTTCAGGTACCATTAGAACTGATTTTTGTCGCGTATTTCCTTCGTATTTTACATCTGAACATATGTGACTATCTCCCTATATTGTATATATACCGACAGGTAAATTCACGTGTACGCGACTCGGTACGGCCGGCGATTCGTCACGGTCTAGTGTACACCATACCTTGTGATGTGAACAGGTATGAGTACGCGTACGATGAATGGGGACTTACATGGCACATGCAGTACGGATACCTCAGCAGTTTTAAAGGAAACGCGTACGATCCTCTATGGTGACACTTTAAGTATGAGTAAGGGAACGTCCGAAATCAGTAACGCGGACATTATCAACATGATGACGCGCATGGACAAGAGACTTCAACATATTGAAAGTCAAGTAGATAAAATAGATCAGGTACAACAAGCTCTCACCCTTTTGTCATCGCGTGTGCGTGAAGTCGAAGATAAGTTTGGAAGCTTGTCATGTCAAACGCGTGAGCTTGAGCACAGTACAGAGACAATTGGACAGTTGTTCGACACTATGAAGGTTACAACAGATAAGCACGAACATGATATATGTGTCTTAAAACAGCAGACAGAGCGATCAAACTCCGATGAAGTGATACGTGAGGTTTCAAAAGCGAGTTGTGAAAGAGACGAGCTGAAAGCGATTGTTACCGACTTACAATGCCGCTCAATGAAGGCAAATCTTGTGTTCACGGGTCTCAGTGAGAACGTCGCAGAGGACACCGAGGTCCTGGTTAGGTCATTCATACACAACGAGCTAGACATTGACGATATTCTCGAGTTCGGTAATGTGCATCGATTTGGTAAGAGGAAAAGAGGAAAACCTCGTCCTATTGTGGCCCGGTTCCTTTATCAGAACCAACATAGTTTGGTGCTGTCCCGTACACATATGCTACATGGTACGCATTACGGCGTGAACGAGCAGTTCCCTGCAGCCGTGGAAGAAGTCCGCCGGGGACTTTATCCTGTGGCAAAGCGACTGAGGAAGCTAAGGCACAAGGTCAAGTTTGTGAGAGATAAAATGTACGTCGATGGGGTCTTGTACACTGGAGAGGAGAATGACGTACAAAGTAATACGGTCCCGGAGAACAGACCAACACACTATAATGGTAGGCCAGCTAAACGGCAGCGACAACCCTCAACACCTAAGGATGACAGTCATAGTAACTCAGGCGTGAGTAGCTCATTTGAGAACGTGTCTACTTCAAACAGGTTTCAGGCGTTAACATCTCAGGGTAGCAATCGGGCTGTCGCGTCTGCTTGGGCCCTTCCCGGAAACGGTAGGAGGGGGCAGTGTGATCGTGTAAATGGCGGTCAGGCACAGCGTACGTCACTTCCGACACCCACGGGATCTGGGTCTGAGGAGACTAACGTCAAATCGGTGCTGTAGGGGTCTTCGGAGGTCAATCACACTCTTCATATTTGTAGCTGGAACGTTCAGAGGGGTTTGAAAAGTAAGATCGAGAATAGCTCATTTTGTGAATCATTTAGTGAGGCAGATATTGTATGCCTTTCGGAATGCTGGTTGGACGACGCGGACGATTTCGCGGTGAATGGTTTTGAGCATTTTCAACCTGTCCTCAGATCCAAGTGTAAAGGAGGCGGTCTAGTGTGTTTATTCAAACCATGGTTGCGTGGTTTTATTTCTCTACAATCCGTACAATTGGACAGTATTTTATGGATAAAAATCGACAGCAAGCTTTTCCCTGATAATAAAGATGTCTTTATAGCTCTAACCTATTTACCGCCAGTAGGATCAGTTTTCTACGGCGCATATGAAGAGGACTTCTTTCAACTACTAGAGAACGGTATAGGTCATTATAGTGCCTTAGGTAGAGTATTTGTAATAGGGGACCTTAACTGTCGGACTGGTAGAGAACCAGATTATATATCGATCGACTCGTTACACGAAAGTGTCCATCGTCAACTTGATGGTTTTATGTCTTATCCTCAGGAGCCATGTGACGTAAAGCGTAACTCAGAGGACCTACAAATTAACACTTTTGGGCGTAGTCTGCTACAGTTGTGTAAGTCAACGGGAATTCAGATTCTTAACGGTCGTACTATAGGTGATCCAGATGGTAAAATAACGTTTTGTAATTCAAATGGTACAAGTGTAATAGATTATGTATTAGCTGATAAGTTGTCGATGGCAAATGTCAAATCTTTTGAAGTTGGTCGTTTTAATGAATATTCTGATCATGCACCTATATATGTATGTTTAAACTGCTTTAAGTCAAAAAGTGCCTATTGTAACTGTTGCACTGTAGATAATAGATTTTCAACAGTAACCAGGGTAGCATGGTCTGATGAGGCCGGGAGCAATGCAACCAATCACATTTATGATAATAGGTTTTTGATTGAGAGTTCAGTAGATCAACTTGTTAATACAAGGGAAAGTATTGATAAATGTTTAGAAAATCTTGTGAAATGTACGCATACTTTGTTTGATAACTTTTGTGTTCGTAATAGACAGATATCGAACTGTTCATGTGTTTGCCATACTGGAAAGTTAGATAAGAAAGGGCCAGATAAACCTTGGTTCGATAATACTTGTAGATTGTTGTATAATAGATATAAAAGTGCGTTATTGAGTTTTAATGTAGACCGGTCATTGACAAACAGAGTAAGCCTTGCGCAAGCCAAAAAACAGTATAAAGTATGTGAGAGGAAGTTGAAGCGAGCCTATTTGAGAATGGAAGGGAACATGCTGGATCTGTTAAAGAGGAATAATCCTAAAGAATTTTACCGTAATTTTTCTAAGCGGAAGGCCTGTGATACGGGTAATTTATCGTTAACTGATTTTTTTCAATACTTCAAAGGTCTCGCTGATGTACCTATCGTCGAAAGTCGAGGTCATAGTTTGATTGATAGAAATACTGATTGTGTTTATCCAGAGTTAGATGTGGATTTTAGCATTGAGGAATTAACAGATGTAATTAGGGGTTTGTCTCGTGACAAGTCGGCTGGTACTGATATGTTACTTAACGAATACATAATTGAATATAGAGATATTTTTTCCCCTGTTTTGATCAGGTTATTTAATTCTATGTTACATGTAGGATATTTTCCAGAGTCCTGGGCGCAGGGTGTTATTATACCTCTTCATAAAAAGGGGGATAAAAACAATGTGAATAATTACAGGGGAATAACATTAATTAGTCATCTAGCTAAGTTATTTACTTCCTTGTTAAATAAAAGATTATTAAAATGGAGTACAAGAGAGGATATTGTTACCGATGTCCAATTTGGTTTTAAACCTGGGTTTGGTACCAGGGATGCTATTTTTACATTACATAGTTTAATAATAAATACATTAGAACAAAACAAAAGGCTGTATTGCGTATTTGTAGATTACAGCAAAGCTTTTGATAGTGTAACACATGATAAACTTTGGTATAAACTTTGGAAAAGTGGTGTTAGTGGCAGACTGCTAAATGTAATTAGATCTATTTATGATAATGTTCGTTCTTGCATAAATTTAAATGGTAAATTGTCTACTATGTTCGATTTACATGTCGGTTTATTACAAGGGGAATCGTTATCGCCCATGCTTTTTTCATTATTCGTTAATGATATGGAGAGTGAGTTTTTAAATTCCAATTGTCAAGGTTATGAACTACAATTGATTAATCTGTTTATGTTAATGTATGCCGATGACACAGTTTTGTTTTCGGAAGATGTTAACAATCTTCAGCACATGCTAGATTGTCTGCAATGTTACACTGATAAATGGAATTTAACTGTTAATTATGATAAAACTAAAATTGTAATTTTTAGAAAAAGTAAAAGAATCTTACCTACTGAAAACTGGACGTTTAATGGCAAGTCAATTGAGATAGTGGACAAATTTTGTTATCTAGGATTAGTTTTTTATTATAATGGAAGATTCACCGTAGCACAAAACACGTTGGCATCTCAAGGCAGGAATGCTTTTTATCTTTTAAAAAGAAGAATGAAAGATTTTATCCTTAATACTGAAACTAAATTATCTTTGTTTGATACATATGTGACATGCATACTGAACTATGGATGTGAGGTATGGGGTAATTGTTTATCGC